AATAATAAAAATATATATAATTATTTAAGCATGAACAGAGCTCTCTTAAAAAAATATATATATTATGCAAGGAGTCAAATAAATATCAATGAGTTTCGTATGATTAACCTTTATAATAGTTAAAGAGTGAGAAGCAAACCAATATAGATTTATAACCTTGGCATAGAATAAAATAAATAGTTTTTAGGTAAGTTTAACATTTTGTTTAAAATCTTTTTAAAATAAAATGAGAATCTTAAAATAGTTTAATAAGTTTGATGGTTAACCCAAAGTTGATTAGTTTTTTCTCCAAGTGCCGGACACGGGTCCTCGGAGTTTTAGGGGCCTGAAACTGAGCCCCGGCCTACGAGGTTTTTCTGCGGCATCGTTTGTTACGCCTCGTGTTTTGTGGGCCAAGGGTTGGAAGGGGGATGGGGAGAGGGGGAGAGGGGGGTTTCGGCGGTCAGAGATTGGGGATTGTGGGGCTATAAAGGAGGTGGACCAGAGACCCTTTGTTGGTTTCTGGTGATTTGCTTTGTCAGTGACAAAAATAATAACAGCCAGCCGCAGGCGAAGCCAAAGCTCCTTCTTCCCAGGCCACGTCACCGTGTCTCCAGTCCTGTTCTCTGCTCCTGATTTGGATTCGGATGAGGATTCGGATTTCTGTTTCGGTTTCGGTTTCAGCCTCTGTTTCTGTTTCTGGCTCTGGAGCTACGGCTCCCATATGTCAAGTGCTCCGGCCAGCATGTGTGTGACCATTTTTAATTACCACAATTTGAATTTCTTAAATAACTATTTGGATAAGAATCAAAGGCAGGACAGGCCGGGCAGAGGCCTAATGGATGGGGCATATCGCACCACACAAGTCCTGTTGCGTTTTCACCTCCTCACCGAGTAAGACAAACGCTTCGAAAGTTGCCTTCTGTCTGGCCAAAGTCGCGTCTCATAAATAATCAAGCAATTATTTTGCTGTCAATTTCAACACGGCCGCCGAAAACGCAATGCCAACGCCTAAACGGCCAAAGGACGAAGGACGAAGGACGAGGACTTTCATTCTGTTCGCAGGACCAAAAAGGAGTGAGCCGGGAACTTGCAACCCGCTGAGTCCTTCGGACACGCTACACGGCCTCAAGGAGCAATAAATTCTTTCTGGCTGCGCCGGCCAAGAAATCCAAGCACTGCCAAAAAAGAAGGCAAGAAATATAGCAACAAAACTACAATTAAATAGGAATCTAGATATACCTAAAGATATATACTCAACTTGATTACTATAACTTCTAAGAGTCTGATTTTTAATTATAATGCTTAGATTAAATTTACAAATTCTTTTATAAGTGTAAATAATTATAGATATGTGACATTCATTTTATATAAAGCTGTGATTTTATTGTTTTATATTCCTATTTGAATATCCTACGGCTTAGGCTAATAATTTAAAAGTTTCCGAACTTGTCATGCTAGAAATAATTTATAAAAATCAATAGCTAACTTAATAAATAACTAAAATAAAGTTTTGATTTATTCAAAATGCTAAAGACTAAAAACAAATATTTAAATAAATAATGTGATAGATATTCCACTTTTCAAAGTATAATTGTAAGAAACAAACAATTTTATGGGCGATTTTACTTCGTTATTCCTGAAAAAGGAGTGCAATTAGAGTGTTTTAAAGTCTCCAAATATGTTTTTCAGTGCATGGAATGCACAAAGGCGACGCCAACGGAGAAGCCTTCGAGTCTGGCCATAGTCTGTTGATTTTGTCGAGCAGTCCAAGGATCGCGGATCCTGGCGCTTAAAGCCTTTTGTGCAGTGGTCCCCCATCCGACTGCGATTCGATTTCACGGCCGTATATCATTCCGATTTCAGTTACAGTCCCGTCCAAGCCCATTGCTCCGCATAATACATACGTATATATCTGAATTGCGGCCCGTTTCTTTGCTTTTCCACGCACCGGTCGGAAGTCCTTTAGCAGATTATCTGGGCAGGCGAGTCCTGCGAATATCCCGTGAATATCCCGTGATTTGTAATTGAAGGGCGTGTTCGCTGTTCCCCAAAAAGGAAAAGCACTCGACTGCGGAATGGCTATGGGCATAAGAATGGAAATGGAAATGGAAATGAAAATGGAACTGGATCCACATCCATGCGCTTGTCTAGCTGATTGCATTCCTCGAAAGGAAGTCGGAAGGGGCCATTAAGTGATGCCAATGATTAACAACGGAAGTATAGATTTGGCCAGACTCGTAACTGGTTTTGGGCAGGGGATCTGACATTGGCAATGGCTATGAAGATGAAGGCCCCACGAATCGATGGCCTTGGCAGAGCTCTTAATGGCATTTGGCCATAAATCAAACTGTTGCCTAATTGTCCAGCAGCTAAGCTTCGGTATCTTAAAGATGTGCAGGAAAAAATGTTAGGTTTTGCCCACGCTCGATGGCTATCTATTGAAAACAAAAACAAAAATGCTTAGATACATTTTATTTAAATTTATTAAAGTATTACAGATCATAATATTTAAAACTTTACAGACTTCTGTATAAATATTTAATTAGTGTGAGCTCAATTTACTTTCTCTCAAACATATTTGTATAACAACTAGACTTAAAAGTTCACAGTTAAATATTTTATAAACAATAAATTAAAGAAAATTTTACAAAAAATGTATTATTATAAACACTTAAAGATGTTTTAAACAATTTATAGCCTGAGAACCATCAAGGCTATGCTTAAATTAATAATTATAATAATAAGCGACTAGATGAAACACCAATTTTATTTTGAGTGAAAAGTTCAAAGTTAAATATATTATTATCAATAAATTAAACTAATCTCCCAAAAAGTGTATTATCATATACACTTAAGGATATTTTAGTGAATTAAATTTCATATGTTGAAATTAGTAATTTGCCATTCAATAAATAAAAGGAATTTTTATTGGTAAAAGCTTTAATTTATCCAGAGTAATTTTTCGGATTATCTTTTGCACTCTGTACGATAGCCAAAGCCGGAATAAAACAATAAACGTAAATAACTTTCAATTGAATAGTTTTGTGGCGGCAAATTTACATTTGTCGTGGAATGGTGGCGAAATTCTGGGGCCGTTAAAACCGAAGAGAAAAGGACACTCGGCACTTCCGCTCGACAATGGTCCGCCATTAGCAGCATTATTCTTCCAGGACCCCCCTCACATTTTAGCCCCCGAAGGCCCCCACCCATGAAGTCCTGTGAAAAACCCCCCTATAAAGCGCTGTACCCAAAACCTCTTCCCAAATACCCCTTTCCAACAACATTTTTGCAAATGTCCCTCTCATATGGGTTACGCTTTTCCATACCCCCCCGTCATCCCCTCATCCCCTTTCCATGTTTGATTGTAATTTTGTAATTTTCCCAGTTTATTATCTGTCAACATTATCGCACACACACTCGACCGAAACGGGCATTAAATTCTTGGCCGTCGCCATCGCTCTTATCTTGTGTCGCATAAAACGCCGAGCGAGTTTTCCAGCACGCACACCAAATAAACTCATCGAATTTCTCTTGTTAATTGAAATAAAACTATTTCAACTCCATCTCTGTGACCCCTTGAAATCTGCCTGTTTTCTGAGGCAGAAACTTTTCATTTATTTGGGGTTGGAAAAGTTTTGGGGCCACCCAAAAGGATACTACATGTAAAAGTCTTAAAGATATTCCAAGTGATTGGTAATATATTTGTGACGAATTTTTAAAATTATAATTTATTCAAAAGGACCTTAAATAGTTTAGAAATATATTAAACCGATTAAAAATTTCGGGGTATAAACTTATACAAGAAAATATACTATTTAATACTGCATACTATTTTTATGTAAGATCAAAATAATTACGAAATGGATTTATTTATTTATGATGTGGTTTCGAGGTGAATGGATCATTACTTCCGAATTGAGAATCAAACTTGGGATAATCTGCAATTCTCGTTCGGAACTCCTGCGACTTAATACTCCATTTCGGCAAAGTTAATGCCAAGTTTTGGCCTTACTAAGTAAAAGCCACTTAAAATAAAAAAGTGCAGCAGTAAGTGAGTCCTGCCGAGTGAGAAAGAGACGGGATTAGGGGAATGAGAAAGAGACGCAAACACAAACACACACACGAAACTCATAAAAATGCTTTGTGGTTGTGAACTTCTTTTCCCTTTTATTTTTTGCTGTTATTTTTTATTGTTTGATGGCAAGGTTTTTGTCCTATCCCCAAACTCTAATTCGGAATTCTTCAACTTTGGCTCCTGCCTTTGAGTTCCTTGCTTTGTTTTTCATCTCTTTTTTTTGTATTTTCTGCAAACTTTACAAAGCATTAACACCTCGTGGATGGCAGACACAAAAGCGGGGGCTAAAAGCGAAAAAAATCAAGTTAAAAGCCACAAAACTCCAAACTCAAATATCGTATGTCACGTCACACATTGGCAGGACCAACAAAAAAAAAAAGGACGACGGTGCAAGAAGTGCACGTAGATGGTAAAAATTTGATTAAGTTTATTAGGGCCACGACACTCACTTGACATTTTTCCCAGATTTTTCTTTCTCAACTGTTCAGGGTTTATTGAACACTTTGTTTTTCCGTGGCACAAAGAAAATAGAGTTATATTTATTTAAAAGTAGCATTCCTTTTATCTTGCTATCGAACAGTGCAATGAATTTATATTTTTAACAATTTATTTACGGAAATACTATGGTTTAACTTAAGGCACAACATTAAATATATTTCAATAATAAATATATTAAATAATATAAATAAATAATGATTAAACATAATCAGGCCATTATTTATTCATGTACCATTTTATTAGGATTTTAACAGTATTAAATATATTTTTTTTGAGCTTATCTTAGATAACTTATTATGCTAATCAGGCCATTATTTGTTCATGTACCCAATAAAATGGATTTGAATTTAGTAATATTTCTAAGCTAATTCAAAACAAACTCAAACCTTTACCTTTTTTTTAAGATTAATAATTTATCAATATACCCAAAAAAAAAGACGAAAAGTTACTTTGAAACACTGAAACAATTTAGTAATATTTTTTTGATACATTGCATTGTTTTTGACGGAAAGTTGAAAACGAGGATTGGTGAAAAACATGGTAAACGAATGACGGGCTTTGGAACAAATGGGGCAGCTCCAATTGATAAGTTGAAAGCGGCCGGTAATTTATTCCGAATTTGTTTTAAGGCCAACTCCGCCGGACAGCTGCTACTAACAAATGGATGGGGAATGCCTTGGGCATTTGTCAGTAAATTCTGCAAGGGAGCGGCCTTCTCCTGTGGCTGCCGTTCCATTCGCAACGATTCAACGATTGGGTGATTCTCCCGCGTGGTTTTCCCGCCCACTTGAATCCCCGATGCCGATGCCGATGCCGATCCTCCAGGTGGCAACTAGACAACACTGGCCAAAAGAACGGTGATGTCATCCGGCTTGCCACCCGACGCATCGATGTTGAGTTTCCGGGCATTCTGGCTGAAGGGAGAATCGTGAGCCGGATTGAAGCTCAATGTGCGGGCCATCAGGGCCATCGCATTGGCGGCCATCTGGAGACGCACTGCATCCGAAATGCCGGACATTTCGGTGAGCACCTCGACGAGGAAGCCCTCGGGTACATTATCATACACGCCATCGGTGGCCAGGAGGATGACATCGCCCGGTTTCACCGGAAACTCAATGGTGTCCGCCGATTCGGGTCCATCGGACAGGACATTGACATCGTGACCCGGCGGCGGAGCGGACAACTGATAGGGGGTGTTGAAATGGTGCTGCTGCTCCAAGGATCGACAGACGACGGCACCAGATCGCACCACCAGGAAGCCACTATCTCCGATATTGGCCGTATACAAAGTGCCATCCTCACGATTCAGGGTCAAAATGCAGGCGGTGCAGCTGCCCACGACGGGGCACTTCTGCCCGAGGAGATCGCAGTAGGCTCGGGCCAGGAGCAGGTCCGGTCTTTGGGGCACATAGCCCTTGCTGAGCGACAATCGCTCGCAGGATCGCATGAGGAACATGCTGAACTCACCGGGATCCACGCCATAGCTCCGCCAACCGCCCACGCCATCGGCCACGCCCAAAGTGTCCGCCTGCGGATTGGAGGTCGCGAACCAGGCATCCTCACCGAATTTCCCGCGACTGTATTGCGAGTGTGCCCCCTGATCCTTGGCGAATCCGCACACCACACTCACCAGTCGCAGAGGTCGCAGGAAGTCGCCATCGCCACCTGAATTTCGAATCGTCCTGGGATCGGGGGCTGGAAACTTGCGATGATTCCTTCGCCCCCCATCGCCATTATCCTTGCCATTCACGGGCAACTCTGGGCTCGTTCTACTTTTACCCAACAAACGGAGAACAAACTGGCCACTTTCGTATGTCAAAATCAGGGCTATCTTCACCAGCTGGGCACAGCAGCTAATCAACGACTGCTGGATCGTCCGACGAGTGCCAGTGCCTCCGATATCCAGACTGAAATCCACGTCCATCGCAGTCTATCTCTGCGTATTTTCCTCACAAAATGCAGTGTATTTGAATCCCAAAATCAAATGAATAAGTTGGGTGAGCTATTCAAACGAATGCCGAACGAAAACTGAGTTTTAATCGGTGACCTGTCAACTTAAATTATTTCGTGTTAAAACAACGCCTTCTGTTTTTATACCCTTGCAGAGGATATTATAATTTTGGTCAAAAGTGTGCAACGCAGTGAAGGAGACATCTCCGACCCTATAAAGTATATATATTCTTGATCAGGATCACCTCCTGGGTTGATATAGCCATGTCCGTCTGTCCGTCTGTCCGTCTGTCTGTTTCTACGCATACTAGTCTCTCAGTTTTAAAGCTATCGAATTGAAACTTTGCACACACCCTTTTTTCCTTTGCACGCAGTATATAAGTCGGAACGGCCGGGATCGGCCGACTATATCCTTTAGCTGCCATATAACTGAACGATTGGAAATGCCATAACTTTGGTGTTTTTAAAGTTAGGAAGTTGGGATTTTTTATGAGTATTAAGAATGCATCGTATGAATAATTTTGGAGAATATAATTTACAGAGTATTGTGCAAGGGTATATCAACTTCGGCTTCTGCCAGAATCACCCCGACAGGTGTCACTTCCATTCTGCCCACCAGCACATATATGTATGAAAGGATAATAATCCTCTGGATATGCTTCTAAGCATAATGTCCAATTCATTTTTTGAACGGTTGTTTCTAGTAATACTGGACTGGTATTTCCGCTTTCCGTTTTGCCCCAGCCGGCTACTTTGAATTTCTTCAATTTCTTCAAGGAGTTGCTATCACGGAGAACGCAAATTGGTTTGATTGCGGGCGTATAGCTAAAGGAGCAGGAAAGTTTGATCATCACACCCAAATGTACTGTGCAGAACACAAAAGTGTGCCCACTTCTAGACTAAGTGATTCATTTGTCGTTTTGGATGCATTTGAAGCTCACTTTCAAATCATTATCTCTGCAACAAAATGACGTGAGACAGTCAAATTTGAAATGATTACCAATTCTCCAGGTATGTTCTTTGTGAAAATACTTATAAAATGCTTAATATGTGCGTCCAATTTTAACAATTTGTAAATGTAGCAGGTGATGTTCTCGTTTGAGTTTTGAAAAGAAAGTTCAACTTTCAATAGAGTTTTAAAAAAATGTTTAATTTTGTTCAGTGAGTGTCTATATCGGCCGATCTTTATGAAATTTAGTAGGTCGTATTGATTGGCCAAATATAAAACCCATAAAAACTTCCTAACTTTAAAAACACCAGAGTTACGGCATTTCCGATCGTTCAGTTATATGGCAGCTATAGGATATAGTCGGCCGATCCCGGCCGTTCCGACTTATATACTGCGTGCAAAAGAAAGAAGGGTGTGTGCAAAGTAGTCGGTATATAAGTCGGATCGAGCCGGATCGGGCGACTATATCATATAGCTCCCATAAGAACAATCGGAAAACAAATTCAAAAAAATTATAACTTTGTTGCTTTTAATTTTTTTTGTTCTTTCGGATTTTTTATTTAAATATGATGGAATTACGGTTTTAATTACATTTAAATCGGACAACCAAATTATATAGCTGCAATAGAAACGATGGCAAAATGCAGCGCAAAAATGAAACAGCTTCATTGTTTTTAGTAATATAGGCATAAAAATCGAAATGTAGTCGATTTTAATAACTTTTGCTTACTTTCTTGTTGGAATATAACTTTTCAAGATACACCCATTGAGGGTACTGCTGATATATCCCATTTATATCCATTGATGTTTAAGTCCTGCTAAATTGTCTGTAGTAATTTTGGGAAACCAATACCGAGTACTTCACTCGGTTGTCTTTATCCCTTCCATTTGCCCATTTGGCCAACAAAAAACCTCTGAAAACGGAGGCCTGGCCCCAACTCAATTATGCACAATTACGGAGCCAAACAGATAGCAAGTGGTGCCACATGGGAATGCCCCTGCCAACCGAAATTTCGGGGCTTCCCCGTGGACTACAGTGCACTTTTTTGGTTGTCTGGGAATCGGGGAATCGGGGGATCGGAGGCCAGTCGCTGCAATTGCAGTTGCAGTTGCATTTCCAGTTGCAGTTGCAGATGCGGCACTTGAATTGCATGCATAGCTCATTGCTTGCCACTCGACTGGGATGAAGTGGTGCAGCTGCCGAATGGGTGGTGCAGTTGGTGTTGCACTCCAAAAAATTATAATAAAATTCTTGTTTTATAGGAAATATATATAGGCATTTTAATGCAAGAGTTAGAAGCTTCAGTGTTATTTGATTATGAATTAGAATACATTATTTTCCACCACAAAAGATTTCATATCTAATCTTTTTTTGTTATAACCAAATTGTAAAGCAAAGATTTTAATTAGCATTGAGAATTTTCTATTTTATCTATTGCAAATTGGTAAGGAATCGGTTAAAAATCGATACACAAGCTATTTATCTTCGAAATTGTTAAGATCATTTTGAAAGTTGTTTCAAATAGTTTAATCTTTAAATTATGTCTTGAACTGTTAAAATATATTAAATTACTAAACATATTAATTATATGTAATGGAAGTATTTCTGTTGATTGTTTATTTGGAAATTTAGTTATGATTATTTTGTTTTCTGTGTGTCGTATTCGAAATGCCATTGAATTGCTTAAATACTTTCATCGTCGTCATCGCTTAATGGCTTGCCTTTTTTGGTTGCCATGTCTACTTGGCGTTGCATTTGGGTTTTGGGACTGGGTTTCGGGCAACCTCGCTCCCCAAAAAATGACGATGCAACATATGCGAGTGGCATGAATAAACGGCCTGCTTGAGCGAGTGAATGAATGAATGAATGAGCGAACGAATCACTGACTGGATGGCTGATATGAAGTGCAATCAATGCAAAAACGTTTTCAAGTGCCCAGCAATCCAGGCAGCCAGTTAGTCAGCCATCCATCCATCCATCCATCCATCCATCCTTCCATTCAACCATCCATCCATCCAGTCATCCAACCATTTATCCAACCATCCAGACTAGACAATCCCAGGCACCAGATGCAATTTTCCCCCGGGGACTTTGAGATGGGGCATATTAGATGCATGTGCGTCGGTGTGAAAGGATTATTCACACACTATTGATTTCAAATTGAGTTGACTTCAAATCCGTCTGAATTGACAGCAGCCAGCACATGGCAACACATTCCATTCCCACGATTTTCGAATCCCAGCCGGAAGTTGACTAATGAATTTAATTTGCAGTGGGTGTTGAAGCAAATGGAGCAGCTTACAGGACTCCCAGGAATCAGAGGACTCACAGGACTCACAGGCTCACAGATCAGCGAACCAGGAACTGACTGATTGACTGCTCCACCCAATGTCCTGATGTCTGGTGTCCCGATGTCCTGATGTCCCGATGTCCTGATGTCCCGATGTCCTGATGTCTGTAAGTAGGCAACTGTTTTTGTTTACCCACTTGAGGGCCTCACATCCTCGATGAATTGCCGCAATTGATTGACATTGGCTGGATGCCGCAAATATCCAACACCCAAGGTATTGGATGCATTTCTGGTGCAACAGGAATTTCCAATACACACGATTTTGTCCGAGTTCACTGCAAGAAATAAATGCAAAAAGTAATTATATAACAAACTCGCCCAATAATAACAGCTCGATTATAATTTAATAATCGTTTATTGCTATACACATCAATTATAATTCAATAGCAATAAACGATTTTATTATTTATGAAACAATTTTCAAAGCTTTGAACTAATATTGAAAATGTAATTAATTTAATTTTTTGTATAAGACGTTTTTATGAAAAATTATAATCATAAAAGGATCTAAATCTATATATTAAATAATGTTAGTTCTTCTGTGTAGGAAATATACCAAAATTAATATTAAAAAAACTATTTCAATATTGCTAGTGCTACAAAGTCACTACCAACAATTTTTGTTGAAGTATTTTGTAAAGTGCTTTTATTTTTTAAGCAAATAATATTATAACCTGATATCTTAGCTAATAAATATATAATACTTTCCCATACATTGGAAACCATTAAAGTTTAAGTATGAATTGCTTGTAATAACTTAATCCGATTATATGGTAAGATAAGAATCCAAAACTATTCCGTATTTTTGGTCAGTGCTTTGGAAATACCAGACAAACGGGCGATGGTCAAAAGGACAAAGGACAAAGGCCGCAATTGTTGACTGGCCAATGATCAATTTAATAGGAAAACAATATTGATAGCCGAGGAGGACCGCTCGGCAGGAATTTCCTGTCCATGGACAGGATGCTCGAGGAGCGGAAGTGTTGCGGTTTTTGGGTAAATTCTGGGGGTACGGGCTACTCCGCACTCCAGAGTTTTGTTTGTTTGCCCGGAAAACTTGGCAAACTTTCGGTGTTGTGTTGTAACTAAATTTTCGAGAGGACAAAGGGCAACACTTTCACTTCGTCTCGGGGAACTGAACTCTCTCTCTGTTTGGTTTCTTGTGGTTTATTATTCACGCCTGAATTGATTCTAAATTAAAGTTTGTGTCGTTGTGCATTTTGAGGTCAGCCTATGGCAAAGTTTTCTTTTGTGTGTGCACTTGGGGGATCTTGGGTCCTCGATGGTCCGGCCTTTGTCCTCAGTATTCCAATGTGTGTGTGTGTGTGTGTGTGTGTGGTCCTATGTGAAGTCCTGTAGTCCTTTAGTCCTGGGTCCTTGATGCCCGGCCATATTAGAAGCCAAAAGGCATTCGAGTGCACATAAGACGATTACACATCATTTAACCGACGCACATTGCAAAACTATGGGGCATCCCCCCTCACCCCTTAGAAATTTCTGAGGTCCTGTGTAATTGTTGCTCCTTCTTTATTGACTGCTGCATATTGATTATAGCGCCCGTCGCCTTGGAGTTTCCTTCCCAAGTTCATTTTCCTTCTTGACTTGACTTGATTGCCGGCATTTGTCGTTCTTGTTTAAAATTCAATCGCTGCACTCAACTGAGCACGAAATGTATTCATGTGTGTAACTCTAGTTTCGGGGGCTTTCGGCTTATACATTTGAATGTGTGTTCTTTCAAGACAAAATTAATTTGGTGTTAATAAAGTGAAAGTGTGGCCCTGCTTTCAGCCTTTGTCTGCATTATGAGAACTTTAAGAAGGCTTAAATTGATTGCTACTCAAAAACATTAAGGGCCCATTTTGATTGGGTTTTTTTGGGTGTACTTGAAAATTATTTAACTTAGGGTTTTGGAGTGTACCTTTTGTATCTTGTATATTTTATAACCTTCTGAATTTGGAATTCGAAAATCAGTGCCGAATATTTGCATTTTGTTTATATTTAAAAAGAATAGTAGCATTGTTTACCTAAGGGATTTATGTCGTGTCACCAGTTTATCCAGTCAACTTTCAAATTCTCCGCATTCAACATTATTCAGTAACTTTTTTTTTTGATTCGGGCGACAATTGAACAGATTTAAAATGCAGACCAGTAAATTATCGCAATCCGTTAGCAACTCCCTGCCTTTTGTTGGCCTAGGAATGGGCGTGGCAGTGGGCGTGGCTGCCTGCGGTCTACTCCTCCGCCGATCGCCCACCGCCTTCAATCGGTTTGGCCAGCTGTGGGCACGCTTGGGAAATATTGGAACCAGACGCTTTTATAGCGGCGGCTTTCAGGTAAAACGCGAATTCCTTAGCAGTGTACATTCACGTTTTTTATTCTTACTTAAAATTTAATAGCATAAACTAATATTTGTTTTTATTTGGTTTTCAATCAAGCGAACTATTAAAAATAGCATGCTAACGCGAATTCTTTAGCATCATTCATTTAAATTCATGGCACACCCATAAAATTCAATAAAATGTATAAGCAATTTCTTTATCCGAATATAATATTTGTTTCAATTTCAATTCTTATTAAGTAAATTACTTATTCTTAAAATTCAAAATAATAAAGGCTTTAAAATTTAATAAAATGTACATGCAATTTCTTTATCCGAATGTTATATTCATTTCACATTCCATCCTTATTAAGTAAATAACTTATTCTTAAAATTCAAAATAAAATAGACGCGGTCCGTGTAGTTGAACAAACTTCTCGGCATCAAAAATAAAAACATAGTCGGTTAAAAATAATATAAATGCGAGTACCTTAGTCAATAGATCTATTAAATAGGATCGCTATAATAATGAGCCTTGTTTTAACCCCCAGGAGCGGATGACGCCCCGCGAAGCATCTCAAATTCTGGGCACCAGTGTCAGCGCCCCATGGAGCCGAATGCGGGAGGCCCACCGACGGGTCATCCTGGCCAACCATCCGGATCGCAATGGGTCACCATATCTGGCCGCTAAAATCAACGAGGCCAAGCATGTGCTGCTAGATCGCAGAAATCGGTCCAGATAGATAACGATTCGGGGGGACTGGAGAGTCCCAAATGACAACCGATCGACTGGAACTTGGATGTTCTATTCAAAGTCAAAATTGATCATGTTTTTTTTTGGCAAATAATAGTTTAAAGATGTGTAGTACAACTAAAATTAGATAAACGTTCTCTATAGCAAACATATTAGGGTATAAGCATTATTTGAACTATCCTAAATGCGTAAACATATTTAAGTATGTGGTATGGTATACAAACGAGCATTTATTTTGCTTTTGTGAAACACTGCTGCTAATGTCCTGTCCTCAGAGAAGAACTCCTCCTGCTCCTTCTTGCGATCCTTTTTCCTGTCCCACGCACGCCACAAAGTACCTGTTCGTTGTGTACTTGGGTCAACTGAACTGCTTTCTGCTGCTCCTTAAGCTGCCAAACTTTTGCCACTTGGCCACAGTGCTAGTTGAGAGTGCGGGTTATGTTAACCCTCTATATATCTCCCCTAAATTGTGGTCAAAGGACCAAAAGGAGCTGACTGTATGGAATTCTTTCTATGAATTGATAACAAATATGTATACATTTTTAATTAAAGAATTTTAACTAATGAATTCATTTGAAATTTAAAGGTTTTAATTAATAAGACTACATGGAATTTAAACTGAATTTCAGCTTTAATTCAAGAGCTTGTGTAAGTTCTTTAATAATGACCAGTTTCTGAAGCACTGAAATTGGATTATTTGCTTAGGCATTCATTTTTCTTCGTTTTAATTAAATTAAGGCAACAATTTAGCAAAACGCCTATAAAAAAATGTAATTAAACCCTTTTTTGAAAAATATTTTTCATGATCATTACCCAAAGGATTTTTGAAAATTGCGAAACTTCAAAATCGCTGCTGGAATTTTCGACTACTGGTGATTAGTGGGTTAAGCGGAAAGGAGCAACTGGCCGATGTCCAGGCATGCACTTGACGGTTGCCCTCCCCAGCTCCAAAAAATGCATCTCCTTTTCCAGTCTTCTTGGACATCAAAGTTGGCAACTTTCGAGTTGAGGAATTTTCGACAAGACGACTTGGAGGAACTTTTGTTACTTCAGGGGCGGAGAACGAGGAAAGGATACCTGAGGATGAAGGACGAAGAATTCGCCACCGAAAAAGGAGGTGGAATTAGAGGCGGCAAGTTTAATTGTTGTGTGTTGTCCTGTCTTCTGGCTGTGCGAGTGCGAGTACGAGTACGAGTATAAATTCAACCGGCGCTCAGGTGTCCTTAGTGGTGTTCTAATTACTAACAAACTTAATTTGCTAAAAGTTATTTTCTTGCGGACACCGCTTACTCGTGCTTCCCCCATCTTTTTATGGCCGTGGCCACTTGACTGGCCACTCCTTTTCGGCCAGGACACTTAAGCCCACGCGAATCCTGGCCTCTTCTCCTCGAGAGTTCGCTGCGGCAAAAGGACGAAAACTAAGGAGTCCCCGAGAAAGAATAAACTCAAGAACTAAGTCGACAGATAGGCCTCCGAATGTAATTCACTGGCATGCAAATGAGTCCAAGCCTTTAATTTCCGCATAGATTTCAAAATGTTTCCAAGGAAGTCAATCCAACCTTATGTTATTAGAACTAGAACACCGTAATGTTATTAACGAAGATAAAAGCTACATAATGACAACTTCACAAAGCAATAAATTGATTTTAAATATAATAAAGACTACAAATATATTATAAAAATGTAAATATTTTAAATGGTTATTGATTTAATATAAAACATTGGTAAGGGGATCCCAAAGAAATCTCGAAAAATATTTATCTTAAAATAATGTTTACAAGTTTGCTGTTAATAAACTTAAAGCATCGTATTTCTGGATGGGAGTTTTTGTTAAATTTATAGAGCTCATTGTGGTAAAAGAAAGAATAAAAAAATACGTCTTTAAAATGTTTACCTAATTATATAATCCAAAACTCCAATGGATTTGCAGAGATTACGCGTTAAAAGAAAATCAGAAGCCTGCCATTGATAAACCAAGCAAATATTTACTTTATTGTGGGCTATTTATCACAGCTCCTTTGCCAGTTGCAGCACTGTTTTTCCTAAGGGCAACCACAATCGGTGTAAACCGCCTCCCTGGGCCGTGACTTCGAATGATTCTCCTTCAGGGACCCAAGATGAACTGGCCGCAACCGGCACTTCATTGGCCAAGATGCAAACGGGGCAGTGGATATTATGGCCAAGTCCAAGTTTGAGGTCCTGCGAGCTGGGTCCCAGGACCTTCTCCCCGTTGTAAATTATGCGCTTTGGCTTACAAATTGCATGTGCCTGGCAGCATGAAGCATGTGGCCAGTCAACTGGCTGACTCCTGCCGCCTTTCTGTCCCTGACTTGGCATCGTCACCTACGTCCAGCTCCTTTTGCCGGTTCTTTTGTCTATTTTTAACGTCTCTTCAGGGGGTTCCTTGATTTTGGCGAGACGTTTGCATCGAGAAGCCAAACAAAAATGTATTTGCTTAATCGATGAATGGATAAAGAACCATTAAAGTTTTATTTTTAATTCAGATTTCTAAAGAAAGTTTTATTTGTCCTTAAACTATTAACTAATTTAATTTATATCTTATTTTAATTTATATCTAACTTTGTCACAACTATTAGGACATTTTCATAATAAAAGAAGGAATATAAAATTTTGTACATTACCAATTAATGTACTTATTCCAAATTTGTTATTCATATCTTTGAAACAAATTGAAAATTTTGGTTTTTTTAATACCATCAGAACTATATTATTTTTAAAGCGTATGGCGACAGAAACTTATGCATAAAGATATTTATAACTATACTGTTACTATGTCAAATAAACAAATTCTTAAATTTCGTGAAACTATCAAAGAAACAAAATATATGTATGTTTTGCAAAAAGAGCATGGGAAACTTGGCTTAAAATAAAACTTAAATTTCATATTCTAGGGCATTAAGATATTCGGTAAGGGGAATGTATTTTGTTTGCCACTTGCATCCACAGCCTCCAACAAATGCGTGGTCAAAGTTGTTTGCATGTCCGAGTTCGTAGCCGGGTATTCAAATGAGCGGCTTGCAACTTGTTTTTGCGGCAACTGGGCAACTTCTTGGACATACTTTTGCCCCGACTCAAAGGCAAATATTTTATGCTTTACGTGGTTAGGTTACTTGAGAAATTACGTGGCTTCCTGCACACTTTCCATCCCCGTTTTCATTGTCTTTTGATGGTGCTGCCTGGCCCTTTGGTTGCATTAGTATTTAACATGAGCTGCCTAAAAGTATGCAAAGTTATTTCTTGTGTGCGTCTTGTGGGTTAACTAAATGCTACATCCTAACTCTAAACGCATTCAACTTGACTTTTTATCTTTAACCATCCCATCCCTCCCTTTTTGCAGAATGCTTTTGTGTACTTAGCGCAACCGCAAAAAAAGTTGTAAAAATCGTGTAAAAAATTCTCGCACACAAAACGTGCAAAATGCGTTTTAGTTGTGGCCACACTGGACTCTAATAATTTATTTTAATGATAATGCATGCTGGCCATTCAGAGTGGTCAGCCGAAAGTTGCTTTCTGGGGTTAAGTAACCGCGAAGGTTGACTGACTGAGTGTCGCATTCTGGCCAAAAAAACAAAAAAACAAAAAAAAACAGAGAAATACAAAAAGTTTATAGAGCAAAGGCATCCCAAAAAGCCCACTTCCTGAATCAGTTTTCGGGGATATTGTTCGCCTAATGATATGCCAGAAATATTAAGTGCTCGACACGCCCACTTGGACAGTTCGAGGGGGCGTGTCGCATATAGCGCATCATTGTAAAACCCTTTCGGCAAGACAAGTGCAAAGTTTTCCCCACAAAAACTTTTATGCTACCATAAAACTTGTGCATTTTTCTACAAAACAAAGAAGAAACAACCAGCAAAAAGCAGCAAAAAATAGGATAAAAAATAAACCCGAAACAGAAACAGACTTGGTCTCACTTTTTTTTTTTGTGTCTCCTTCCATTGCTTAAAACAAAATGCAAATAAAAAGTTTTACCCTAGGAGGGCCGCTTTTTCCACGGTTTTTTTCTTCTTATTACTTTTCTAAGAACTACTTGGGCTGAAGGTTGCATTGGGTTTTAAAGAGGGGGAAACCACACAGTTGGGTGGGTTATTGGTGGGTGGTTTAGCCCCCGGGTCCGAAAGCAAAAAGGTTTGACCCAAAAAACCTCGAGGGGAATTGTTCTTTTACCACATTTATGGTTTCTTGTAAAAATGTTCAGTATAACTTCCAAAGGAACATTACCATGCTGCAGAAATAGTTAAGCTTTCAATAAATATTTATCTTAAATCGTTCTTTTTCTATATTAATGCCTTCGAGGCTTTTTAATTTTAGTTACCTCTTAATTTGGTTCAAGCCAATCTACACATTAATATACAATTTGCTCTGCTATCTTTTATTTTACTATACTTACGAATAAGTTGTTGAGTGCTTTACAAGCTTAAAAAAAAAAGAATTTAAATATTGTTAATTCGAAATATTCCATTTCAATGTAATTAACATTTCAATTGAGATAATTGGTGATTTGGTCATGACTTTGAGTAAGTAAACGTTGTTTTGAGTAAGTTTCACTATCTCCGCTTAATCACATCGATTTTTTGTAGAGGAACACGTTCCCATAGTTGTCGAAATCCCGCATCTGCCTTTCTTGGATTAAAATGAGCGATGGTATCCCTGGTATAACCCGTCAAAATTCCAGGCACCTCAGCGGAGGATTCATCGTCCAAATGATGGGCCTCATCGTTTCCCAAAGCCCCTTCATCCATGAATTCCAGTGCAAGAGTCTGCAAAAGGAAAACTTGAATTATTATCTAAAAATATTATTTTGTATACCTAAAAACTATATATCACTTTTTCATTATAAGTTTTCAGGACTAGCACAATTGGTAAATTCAACAGTTTTTATTTTATAAAAATAAAAACTATAAACGAAGTTCAGTAGATTTCTACTGTATGTAAATAGTCCCACATTCACAAAAATAAAAAAAAAAACAATAAAATTTCTACTCCACAGTTAAATATACTTTTGTTTTTCACCAAAAACACGTTTTTCCTTATTGATTTGCCACTTACCACGTGTATGGAAATGGCGGCCACTGCCAGAAGAGTCAATAGGTTGAAAAGAAAAGCCATGACCAGAATCGGCGAAATATGTATATATATAGCGCGAGTTTTTGTCGGGGTTAAGGAATGCCTCACAACATTTTTCGTTGAGCGGCGAAAACGAACTGAAACCGCAAAATAGCCAGCGGATTGAGACCCGCAAATCGGCTGAAAGGCATTATAATCGGGGCCCCACGTGTGCCGCATAACGAAAAGCTCCGTTGACCCTGCCATTACTATATAGTATATGGTGTATGGTATATAGGGTTTATTTTTAGCCCACGGCGTCATACCCTCCGCCCACTTCTCACCTTTCCGATTCACCTGTCGGCTCTGTTGACTCATTCAATTGCCCGCTTTAATGATGGAAATTGCTTTTTTTCATGCCGCTGCCGTCGTTTGATTTGTGTTTTAATTTCCATCAATGGCTGTGCGAATTATTGACCAGAACGTGCTTGAAAAAAGCGGTGAGCAATTTGTGTATTATGTATGCGCAAAAAGCGTTAGTTGTCATGTTTGGCTGTGAATTATTGGCCCATTGGCCACACATTAAATATTAACTCAAAATTGTCCATGGCTTCAAATTTATACATAGAGTATTCTTAAAAAAAAATAATTATATAAACTTTAACAAGAAAGGAAAGCTATCTTCGGGAAGTTGATATACCCTTTCAGAATATTCTGTAAATTATGGCATTTCCAATCGTTCAGTTATATGGCAGCTATAGGATATAGTCGGCCGATCCTTATGAAATTGGGTAGTTCGGATTGATTGGGCAAATATAAAAACCATACAAAATCCAAACTTTAACTTTAAAAACACCAAAGTTATGGCATTTCCGATCGTTCAGTTATATGGCGGCTATAGGTTATCCTATATAATTAATTCTATGACCGTTACTGCCCGTTACTGTCACTCCCTTGCATTATAAAAGAGGCTGAATAGGGTAGATATGTAAAATTTAAATAAAGTATGAGTTTTAAGAATGCATAACATGTATAATTTTGGAAAATATATAATTATTTCCAATTTTCCGATGTCTTGTAAAAGAGTGACTTAAAATTGGACTTCGAGGGTCCATAACTTTACCAAACTTAAGACGATTTCAAAGTGGCATACCTCTAAAGACTTGTGATTCGATTCTCTAAAAATCTGCATTAAAATGTTTCAATTTATCGTTGAACACATTTTTGACCCATTTTCATGTTGGTTTTTTCTAAGCTTCCGATGAGTTGCCCAAACGTGACCCACAATTGGACTTCTAGATTCCATAACTTTTCCAAATGTAATCCGATTCCAAAGTGGCATACCTCTAAAGACTTCTGGTTGAATTCTCAAAAAATCGGCATTCAAAATTTTCATTTTAGCGTTGACCGATTTCTTGACCCATTTTCATGTTAGTTATTTCTAATTTTCGGATGACTTGTTCAACGTTGACCCAAAATTGGACTTCGAGAGTCCATACTTTTCCAAATGTAATCCGATTCCAAAGTGGCATACCTCTAAAGACTTGTGGTTGAATTCTCAAGAAATCTGCATTCAAAATTTTCATTTTAGCGTTGACCGATTTTTTGACCCATTTTCATGTTGGTTTTTTCTAAGTTTTCGATGAGTTGCCCAAAGGTGACCCACAAGTGGACTTCTAGATTCCATAACTTTTCCAAATGTAATCCGATTTCAAAGTAGCATACCTCTAAAGACTTGTGGTTGAATTCTCAAAAAATCTGCATTCAAAATTTTCATTTTAGCGTTGACCGATTTTTTGACCCATTTTCATGTTGGTTTTTTCTAAGTTTTCGATGAGTTGCCCAAAGGTGACCCACAAATGGACTTCTAGATTCCATAACTTTTCCAAATGTAATCCGATTCCAAAGTGGCATACCTCTAAAGACTTGTGGTTGAATTCTCAAAAAATCTGCATTCAAAATTTTCATTTTAGCGTTGACCGATTTTTTTGACCCATTTTCATGTTGGTTTTTCTAAGTTTTGGATGAGTTGCCCAAAGGTGACCCACAAGTGGACTTCTAGATTCCATAACTTTTCCAAATGTAATCCGATTACAAAGTGGCATACCTCTAAAGACTTGTGGTTGAATTCTCAAAAATCTGCATTCAAATTTTTTTTGAGTTGACCGATTTTTTGACCCATTTTTTGTTGGTTTTTAAGTTTTCGATGGTTGCCCAAGGTGACCCAAGTGGACTTCTAGATTCCATAACTTGTCCAAATGTAATCCGATTCCAAAGTGGCATACCTCTAAAGACTTGTGGTTGAATTTTCAAAAAATCTGCATTCAAAATTTTCATTTTAGCGTTGACCGATTTTTTGACCCATTTTCATGTTAGTTATTTCTAATTTTCGGATGACTTGTTCAACGTTGACCAAAAATTGGACTTAGAGAGTCCATAACTTTTCCAAATGTAATCCGATTCCAAAGTGGCATACCTCTAAAGACTTGTGGTTGAATTCGCAAAAAATCTGCATTCAAAACTTTCATTTTAGCGTTGACCGATTTTTTGACCCATTTTCATGTTAGTTATTTCTAAGTTTTCGATGAGTTGCCCAAAGGTGACCCACAAGTGGACTTCTAGATTCCATAACTTTTCCAAATGTAATCCGATTTCAAAGTGGCATACCTCTAAAGACTTGTGGTTGAATTCTCAAAAAATCTGCATTCAAAATTTTCAGTTTAGCGTTGACTGATTTTTTGACCCATTTTCATGTTGGTTATTTCTAAGTTTTCGATGAGTTGCCCAAAGGTGACCCACAAGTGGACTTCTAGATTCCATAACTTTTCCAAATGTAATCCGATTCCAAAGTGGCATACCTCTAAAGACTTGTGGTTGAATTCTCAAAAAATCTGCATTCAAAATTTTCATTTTAGCGTTGACCGATTTTTTGACCCATTTTCATGTTAGTTATTTCTAAGTTTTCGATGAGTTGCCCAAAGGTGACCCACAAGTGGATTCTAGATTTTAGATTTCCACTTCTAGATTCCATAACTTTTCCAAATGTAATCCGATTCCAAAGTGGCATACCTCTAAAGACTTGTGGTTGAATTCTCAAAAAATCTGCATTCAAAATTTTCATTTTAGCGTTGACCGATTTTTTGACCCATTTTCATGTTGGTTTTTTCTAAGTTTTGGATGAGTTGCCCAAAGGTGACCCACAAGTGGACTTCTAGATTCCATAACTTTTCCAAATGTAATCCGATTACAAAGTGACATACCTCTAAAGACTTGTGGTTGAATTCTCAAAAAATCTGCATTCAAAATTTTCATTTTAGCGTTGACCGATTTTTTGACCCATTTTCATGTTGGTTATTTCTAAGTTTTCGATGAGTTGCCCAAAGGTGACCCACAAGTGGACTTCTAGATTCCATAACTTTTCCAAATGTAATCCGATTCCAAAGTGGCATACCTCTAAAGACTTGTGGTTGAATTCTCAAAAAATCTACATTCAAAATTTTCATTTTAGCGTTGACCGATTTGTTGACCCATTTTCATGTTGGTTTTTTCTAAGTTTTCGATGAGTTGCCCAAAGGTGACCCACAAGTGGACTTCTAGATTCCATAACTTGTCCAAATGTAATCCGATTCCAAAGTGGCATACCTCTAAGGACTTGTGGTTGAATTCTCAAAAAATCTGCATTCAAAATTTTCATTTTGGCGTTGACCGATTTTTTGACACATTTTCATGTTAGTTATTTCTAATTTTCGGATGACTTGTTCAACGTTGACTCAAAATTGGACTTCGAGAGTCCATAACTTTACCAAGTTTAAGCCGATAATGCAGAGCAAAATCGACATAGCTTCATTGTTTTTAGTAATATAGGCATACAAATTAAAATTTAGTCGTTTTGTAATAACTGCAAGGGTATATAAACTTCGGCTTGCCGAAGTTTTGCCTCCTTTCTTGGTTTTTCTTTGTAACATCAGAAATAGTATTTTAACTATAATTTCATCATTTGGATAGTAAAAATGTTTTGATGTTTGTTAACTGCGAATTACAATAACATCATAAAGATATCCCTAGAAAAAAACATCAATAAAAGCTGCTTTTATCCTATTTTCATTAAGGGGCACATAAGATATATGGAAAATAAACATTTACTAAAGGTGATATTGTAATAATAGGTTAAAGTTTTCTATTAAGATAACACCCGAGAATTCACGATTTATATTAAGGTCACGACTTTAAGCCTTTAAATATATAAATTCATACCACTACAGAGACCAAAGGATGTTATATTTTTTGTATAAATACTATTCCTTGAAGCCTTCCAAAATCAGTTTCCATTACCCTCCGAGTCAAGATGAAGATAACCATTGCAACTATTGGACTTTTTGTAGCTGTCCTTTGCAGCTTGCAATCGCCAACCGTGGCAGTATGTTTCCTAAAAACGAAACTACACATGTCCTTTATAAACATAGTTCCTTCTATTTTTCTGACTAGTGTGATATTAAAGCGGCTTACGATTTGGTCTTCAATTATTGTCAAACCCAATACATTTTTAATATTCCCCTGTGTTTCGGTTTGAATGCGGTAAGATGACACTTGCACATTTGTGTTCAACATTTATATACTAATCATATCTAATTTCAGAGCACCAGCAACGAAAAATTCTTGCAATTGCTCAGCACTCAATACAAAAAATTTTGTGAATTTACAATTTTTAAGGATCTTTGCCAGAAATGCGATTTTTCGTCCATTTTGTCAGGTAACCAGAATATTACGGCTGCAAGCGGAAATTTAACAGCAGGTGCTATTCGCGTTTTGGGCGGCCCTGATTTAATTCCCGGGCTCTATACTTAGAGATCTAAAAGTTCCCCGACAGAAAATCAACCGAACCAAAATATTGAATTTATATTAATGCACTTAATCCTTTTGTTTTTGCACCTTGGCATGCCAGCCCCTTAAATATATTCCCCAAGCATTGAAAAACATTTGAAAATTGTATATTTTTTAACAGGAGCGGGTTTATGGGTATTTTAAATTGATCAATAAAAAAGGCCTTACAAATAAATAAAACTAAAACATTCAATAAAAATGTGTTTTTTTATTTATGGATATCAAAACAAGCTGGAGGCTCACTAACAAATAAAATACACGGTACAGAAACTTCTCGTTCATATTTCTTTATATTATATTAAGTTCAGTAATTTTAATAGAAAAGTGGATATTCTAAGGCAAGTATTACATTTTTATTTAAAATGGAAATATATCTTATAAATATTTATTTCATTTTGCATATAAAAGTTTTTAAGTCTTAGTTATTATAGTTACACTTGTAGTTCGTAATATTTAATAAGATTACTGAATCCGAACAGTATTTTTCAATTTAATGGTAATATAGGTATTCAATTGTGAATTTGAAGTTTTTAGTCTTAGTTTTTATAGTTCTACTTACAGTTCATAATATTTAATGAGATAATTGCAAACAAAAAGTATTGCATGGACTATTATAATTCCTTGGCATTAATTACTAGTATTTAATAAATATTAAATTTGTTGAAATAATCTTCTTCAAATGTTGGACTTGTAATTTTTGTATTTTTCTCGTTAAATTTTACGTTAAAACTCGTTTTTTTTCATAGTTCTATTTTGTGTTTCACTTAAAAGTTGTAGATAATTTTTATCTTAGGAAAAAAGTTTAACCACTATTTTAATTAAACCCTTTGGAGTTATTTTCACTTAAGATTCAGATCTTTAAAAGGTTTTTCTATTAAAAAAGATAATTTTGCTTTACGATAGTTGGCTTAAGTTGCACGATTCGTATTGAAACACGACCAAATTAACTTTCTTATCGCCATAGAGTGTACAAATGGAATTTTTCCCCATAAATATCGAAGTTCTTGGCATTTTCAAATCAGTTCGAGTACTTTCAAGTCAAAATGAAGATTTCAGTAGCCGTTCTTGGATTATTTGTGGCCCTCTTCCTCAGTTTGCAACCGCCTACAACGGCAGTAAGTTCTCAAATAGACTAAATATATATTTATTAAATTGTTATTCATTTTGGACATATTTCAGTTCTTCTTTGCACCAGCATCAACCTTTTTCTGCAGATTTGTTCCTGATTTTTTTTTGTGCAAAGGTAATGCATCAAGTGCATCCCAGGGAAATGGATCAAGTGGATCAACAGGATCAACAGCATCGAGTGGAGCTAATGCAACTGCACCTGCGGCTTCTGGAAATGCCACAAATGCAAGTCGATAATTTCAAAGGACCAGTTTTATAAGCCAAAAGTCTCGTGGCCTTAAATTTAATAGCAAACGTTATCCTTTTGCTTTTGCACTCTGGCATCCGAATTTCTTATAATAAAATTTCCCGAGCATTGCAAAATATTTTCTTTTATTAAAAGGTATATATTTATTTTATAAGTTCGAAAAGGGATCTCAGTTCGGCTTATACTGAGTCAAATAAAATATTTGTACACACCTAATTAATTTACTGATTTATTAGGCAAATGAAAAGCCTTCCAAATTACTTTATTCTCCCATCATACCGAAAATTTCCATATAGTTAATCACTCGGCTGGATTCCACACACCTTCCAAGCGACTCCCAGTAAAAATTCAATTAATCGCGGGCTCTATCGGCGAATGCAATCGCTTATGAACTCATAAGTACATCAGCGCCCCCCATTTCCGACCTTTATATTACACACAGTGCCCCGTATTTAGTGGACATAGTTAAAGATCGTTATCCAATTAGTCAAAAGCTCGTGTAATAAATTGCCCGAATTAAGGTGCGGAATTTTAATTACATAATTTACGCGTGCGTTGCGTGGCCATCGAAGATCCGAGGGATGGTTACATTAGCCCACCGAATCGGGATTCCTACCTGACTAAAAAAAAACTAAAACTAAAACAAAATAAAACGAAACTAAACAAACAAGTCAAACGCAGTCAGAAAAGTGCGTTTGATAGCTCATCTTAATAGAAAAGTACACGCAATTTGGGTGCGCGGGCGGGTCATTAGAAAAATGACAGTAATAACAATAATTATGAATTTTATCCGATTAACGGGAAGAGCCAACTAACGGGTGTATATATTCAAATATTTAGTGCAATGCGTGCCATTGAACAATTAATTCTTATCTAGTTGGGCTGATGCAACAGTCCCTCCGACTTTTGACCCCTGACCCCTGACTCCTGAATGCCGACTGCCCACCTCGGTGGCATTTCTCACATGTCATCGTGGCCAAAGCTGAGAAAAAATATCACAGAGACTCAGTGAAGTGCTTAACATTAAAAAACAAATATGTACATTAGCTTCAAATTATATTAATACTTTCACTATGTGCCTAAATGATAAACTTAAATGTATTAATTCAAAACCCATTTGAATCAATTTTTAAAAATAGTTAAGTTAAAAAAAAGGTATTTTATATAATCAGTAAAAGAATTAATGATAAAATCAAATTGTATTTACATTATTGAAAAAACTGTGCAAACAAATAAGGAAACCAAAATTTGTAATTTAATGAAAAATGAAAATGGAATCTACAATGAGAATATTGAAACGCTTTCTATTTTTCTTTCAGTGCACTGTCCAACTGTGGGGCAATTGCGTGTCAAATGCGCTCAATTTTGTTATGACAATGCGATGTAATTAGGGGCCACGCATAGGCCCGATGACGATGCCAAAGCCCATAATATATGAGTCCTGCTCCCAGTTCCACTTTCCACTTTCCATTTCCAGTTCCACAGTTCTACGGCTAATCGCCATCCCAGTTTTTGGGTGTGTTTCGCGCACTTGATAAATATTGTAAATGGCAGGACCCATTACATGCCTTTCCCACTGATGATGACCGAAGTGTGAATGACAGTGGCTCGCTGAAAGGGGGGTGGGATTGTGTGTGTGTGTGGGGGGGTACATTTTTGGGGTGGTGCGAGTGGACATTTGCATATGTAGAGTGTCACTGCGCCAGGGAGTGTTCACAGATATAATTGCTGCAGCCTTAGTTAGTAGCAATGGAAATTAACTAGGTTTGTTCTTAGCTATGTATATGGAGGCCTAACTATAGAAGAGTTCGATCCCACAGGAGAGATAATTTTTTATAAGGCTTATGACAGCTTTTTTGGAATTGTTTCGATTTTTAAACTTATGAATAATGGCGCACATTCTGGAAAAATATTTATTTGTATTTATAAGCATAGTTGTTGCACATGTTTAATTAAATAATATTCATGAAATGGAAAAGTAAAAGTTAAATATTTTTTTTTAAGTTTACGGGCCTTACCTTACATTACATTTTGTAAGCATCTCTTCTGAAAGTGTGCAATTGACTATTAAATTAATAAATAAAAATTATATGTTTCTTTGTGGTATGTAGTGGCTGGTATGTCAGGGGGCATTCGGCAGCAGGATATGTAATCACAGGCACACCCAAAAGAGGCTTAGGAAAAATCGGGTGTGGGAAAGTCGGGGCAACTAATTAAAACCACTTAACAAATGCTTTCTCAACTGTAAAGTTAGCTATAAACAACGAACCACACACACACACACACACACGCACACGTGCAGAGAGACATATGCAACTTGAAACAAAATTAAAAAGCAAATAATTTTCATGGCATTTCCCGAGCAGCAGGGACGAGAAAAAAAAGGAAAAACACTCGCACACGGAGCAAAGAAAACAAGAAATTCCAACATAATTCCAAATAATATTACAACACCTGCGAAACGGTTTTGAGTGGCCCACCAAAAGTGGGGGGCGGATATATATATATTTACACACACATATGTGTGCGGAAAAAGGGCTTTTTCTTGAAAAATTGCTCCACTGGAATTAATTAATTTGCCGTTGACGCTGCAGCGCAAAAAAATAAATATATATATATATATATATTTAAAATAAACAAGAAGTGCGAGAGGAAAATCAGTCAGCGAAATCAAAAACAAGATATATTCACACACCCACACACGCATAGAATTCGCAAAGTAAAATACGAATTTCATTAGCACTTTACAAACAAAATTAAATATGAGGTTAAAAAAATCACCTATAAATTTATATAAATAAAACATAGGAACGACTCTTGACATATTCGTATTATTTAAAGATGTAAAAATATTGGATTAACAAATAAAAAAAGATCGTAAAAACTCCATATTGCTGTACCACTTTTAAAATATTAAAAATATTAAATGTGAATATATTCCCCTTGTTAAACAAAGCTACAAAGATTCTTTTTTAAACTCAAGATATCTTTATTTCATCTGAAAAAAAAACAATTTTAAAATGATAACACCCACAAAGGTAAAGTTGTGCATGCAGAGTATTTGCAGTATTCATTTGGCGAGTGGCGTGAATAAAAATTCACTGGGTTCCCACTGCAACGCATTTTCAAGGTGCAAAACGCATACAATTTTTGATTCTGATTTGCCTGTGTGTGTGTGCTGGTGTTAACGTGTGTGTGTGCCAGCGCATTTGTGTGTGCGAGTGTCTACAGATGTGTAGTGGCACTTGCTGCTCATTTTATGCTTCGATTGCCGCTAAAGTGCAGACGCTTTTTGCCACAGCTGAAGCTGAAAACTGAAGCTCCCAGGCATCTGCATTTTGCATCAGATTTTTTGGATGGGAAAAAACGTAAAGAAATAAATATAAAATCTACTTCCTTAAAAAACAAGTAATAACTTGACCCATTGAATACCAATTCAAATGTGAAAAACCTATACAAAATACCTATAAAAGTAAATTCTCTGCAATATGCATCAACATTTTGGTTTTTATTTTTTTTTTAATTTTTTGCTATTATTTTATAGTGTAACCCCTTTAAAAATTTTAAAAAAAGGAGGAAGGTGATCAAGAACTGCACTTATAGATCCCATAACTTGATTAATCTAAACGTTGCATTTCTTTTATGAAAAAATCGGCATTAAAATTTTGTATTTAAGCGCTGTTCATTTTTTTTTACACAATGATGGTGAAATTCGGTGAACCTAATCATTATTTTTAAGCTTTGCAGAATCAGACATATATATTGTTCTGAAAATTAAACCTAGATCGAAATCGGTTTCATACTTTCGGTTTTGGGTAATTTGACAAGCATTGAAGCATATGAAAGCAAATCACTAAAAACCAGTAATCGACCATGAAGGAATCTTGATCAGAATGGGTCTATAAAAGAGGTGGCCCCACGAAAAAGCGTGTCACAGTTGGTCCACAATCCACAAACGCAATGGAATACACCGCTTTTGTTTTTCTGACCCTCACCTTGGTCTTTTTCATGGGCCAGGATTGTTGGGCTGCTCCCCCAACCGATGATTTGGCCAATTTCGGGGCAATGGAGCGAATGATCAAGGAGCTAACTAGTTCTATACTGGCCATGAGTGGATCAAGTCCTGGTAGGTTTTTAAATAACTAAATGTTCTGTGTATCTGTGTAATAATTCTTTACTTTTCAGGCCAAAGTTCTGGCGATGGAAATGCCAGTAATGTTTGGAACGAAGATCTTCAGGCTTGATTTTCGGGTGTTTCCAGTTGGCTCGGTCTACTAAATCGCGTTTAGCAGTTCTGATGTTTATTATTTCGTATCCATAATTTTTTCTTTTTTTTTTTTGAAATAAAATATCAAGCACCAGTTTAAATTATTATTATTTCTCTTGAAGGGGCAATTGTTTTCAATATATTTTTAGCTACCAAATAAAGAAGGAGTAAGTGAGTTCTTAGTTCATTTTAAGCACACATTATAGGGAATAATTTAATTTGCTGTTCTATGATTAGAGCTCAAGAAATAGCTCTTAAAATCCCCCCTTATGTTTTCAAATCTCATTGTCTTTGCTTCGTTTGACACCCGCAGCCTACAAAAAGCAAATCCGAGACCGCAATTCAAGTGATCGTGTTTAGAGAAAATTGGAGTGCGGCGCAGGAGGGACGGTCACAAATTGCCGGCTAAATCTAATCAACTTAATTTACACAGTCGCACCCCATTCCTTCCACACGGAAAAAACATTTCGATAGCAAATAGATAAATTAACTTCCGAAATGTAGTTTAAATTAACATTTAACGAAAATATTCGGTAGTTTTAAAGTCGAATTAAAATAAAACTTAAAAGAAGGTGAAACACATTTTCAAAAAAGCTAGTTTAAAATTTAAAAAAAATCTAAAGATAGGGTTTAAAAGAAACTGATTTAGTTTAGATATAAAACTTGCTTAAACCTTTCAAATTTGTACATGTTAAAAAATATTTCTCTAATGGAAAGAGAATTTGAAATCATTTATAAAGGTGTCACAAAGTATGCAACAAACGATTTTAAATAAGGAAGTCTGATGGATTTATTTCACAAGATATACATTTATAAAGATTTATTTAAAACCCTTGTGATTTTTAAAGGTTTTTATTGGGTAAATGTTTTTTTTAATAATTTGAATATAATGCATTTTTTTATTGTGTACCCAATTTGCTCTCGAAATCGCTCGATCTGTGGATTCTCCAAGGCGAAGACAACGCGTTGGCTTAAGTGCCCCGCTGGCGACTCAATTTGCCACACAGCCACCGTCTCAATTAGCCGATTGGGTGGTGGTTTTTCAGTGGTTTCGACGGGGTTCGTGGGTGGTGCCGGGGTGGAAAATCAGCTGGTACGCCGGCGAGTCAGCTGTTGCTCCAGATCCAGGGAAAAGTTAGTTGCCATCGCGGCAGCCACGCGAAAAGTGACGACGATCTCGCCGACTGTGTGTGTGTGTGTGTGGTGTGTCATAATATCATTAATAAAAATATAAAACAATAATAGTCGGTGGCTGTGTGTGGCAACAGCACAATTGCACTTCCATCTCACTGAGATCTGGGATGTGGAATCAGAAATCTGAAATCTGAAACCCGAGCCAAAACCCACCAGTCACCTCTGATGCGTGCCTTCGAGCGGTGCGATCGGTGCGCTTTTCTTTTCCTCCTTTTTCAGCTGTTCTCTCTGTCGTTTTTTTTTCTGTGTGTGAGCCAGTCGAGTGGCGGAAAAGTGCCGGGAAAATGCACGTGGAGGAGCTGAGGGCCAGTCTGCAGAGCTTCGGCTGGCAGGATTACCTGGTCTTCTGCCTGATGTTGGCCATCTGTGCCGTGATCGGGATTTACTTCTGCCTCCAGTTGCGAAGTGAGTCCAGGAAGCAGAAAACGCACGGTTCTGAGGAGGCTGCGAATAGTGCCGCCTCCTATTTGGTGGGCGGCAGGCAGATGAAGATCTTCCCCATCACCATGTCACTGATATCCAGGTGAGTTGGTCTTGAAATTAACATCTAAGGAAAGTCCCATCCAAAAGTAAGATAATAAAGTGTACGCTTACATCCTTTTCCTATTTGAAAATAACAGTATAAACAGCAAATTTGGAATAGCACACTTTTGGGCAAATTGATTTCAGAACAACTTAAATTTTCAATAAGGTTTTACACCCGAAATAACAATAACAAATAATATAAATATGAAATGCTTACCTTTGATCTCATATATTTCCAAAGCCTAGTATTTTTATTAGGTTTTAATGTAATTTTATTAATTCTATTTGTAATTCTATTAAAGTAAATACTTTTCTTTAAATTTAAAATTAAATTTTCAACAATTCATTATACAAAACTGTATGTGTATTTTAATTAGATTAGTGGTAAAATTATTATTACCACTAATCTAATTAAAATAAAGATTACAAATTCTTTAGGATTTTATTTTATAATTATAATAAAATGCCACAATAACTTTGATTATTTTCTGATCATTACTTTAATGTAATTGTATTTTTTTTGCTTTTGAAATATTCTTAACATATTTAGACAGCTTACAATTCAACAGATCTGTTTAAATGAAGCTAATAAAACAATTTCCATTTGAATTAAGGCACTTGTTAAATATATTATGCAGTCCACATGGGAAACCCCTTGCTTGTTAAGAACTTTATGTGCTCGAGATAAGAATAAAGAATTAATCAAAGTTCCGGGAAAATAAACCCGTTGTTCCCAGAACTGGAGAGCTGATCTCTAGATCCATCCAGCCATTAAAACGCCGACAGAGTGTAGGTCGCAGATTGCTCCAGTTTCGACTCGTTATAGTCGGTCGCGTATTTTTAGCATAGTTCGTACGGTTTACAGTTCGCTCCTATCAACGCACCAAATCAAAATGCTTCATAATTAATAATTGGCTTCCACGTTCGCTGGCGATTCAAACTACCCGCATATGCAGGGCATTCAAATTGGCGACGCTCAATTGGCGACTACAATTCCACATTCCCGATCCCAAATCCCCGATCCCCAATCCCCTCCGACTAAGAATATGTGGCGAAACTTGACTTGGACACCAGGGAATTGCGACGACATTGGTGCTAATTGAATTGCATAAAACGCACTTTGATCTCCCACAAATGTTGGGTGTTTGAGGCTTTTTGGCGAAGGTCAAGGTGGTTCTACACAGGAAGAAATTGCCTTTAACGGGGGTCAATTTCTTTGATAAAGGCAAATACAACTGCATGTTAGTCATCATAAAATATTTACCACTACCTTACTTATGTACTTCAATATTTGTGATTATATTTCAAATGTCATTTTCCAGCTTCATATCTGGAATCACGCTTTTGGGCACTCCCACGGAGGTTTATCTCTATGGAGGTCAGTACATGTACATTATGGGATCGCTGGTTCTGATGGGCTTCTGCATGTACTACTTCTTCCTGCCGGTCTTTCACGAACTCAATTTGATATCTACCTATAAGGTCGGTTTCCATTCGGCTCTCTTAATTATAGAAATTTGTAATTGCTAATACAATATTTAATTTTTGCTTTCAGTACCTGGAGCAGCGTTATAATAGAAGTTTGCGACTTTTTGGCTCTGTTATGTTTATTGTGGCATCGGTAAGTTTACTGGGAAGTTTAAGTAGGGAATATTATAAATAACTGCTTGAAGTTTTTCTTATATTTATACCTTAATATGTGTATAAATATTTTTAAAAAATAAACATTTTTTGTAGGACATTTTGTAGGACATTTTAGCTTTGATATTTAACTTAAACTATTGTTATAACTGCCTTTAATAACTGCCTTTTAATAATAGGAGATGAAGAAACATATGATATTCAAGTTTTATTTGGGTACCAAATTTAATGTCATTCGGATAAATATTTTGGTTGCTTTATAGATTGATTAATACTGTTAGTTACCAGCTAGCAATACTATATATTGAATCAAAAAGTTCTATTCATAAATTCCAAAATATCCCTTTCTTTTTGGTTACAGCATACTTTAAGACTCTACAAATATTTAGTTTGATTTTTTAAAAACTCAATAGTAATGCGTCTAATCACATATATGTACATTTCAATGTCTCTTCAGCTCCTTTGGCTTCCGATAGTGATCTATGTGCCGGCAATAGCCTTTAATCAGGCCACCGGAGTCAACATCCATATAGTGACGCCCATCGTCTGTGTGGTGTGCATATTCTACACCTGCATTGGAGGTCTGAAGGCGGTGGTGTGGACGGATGTCATCCAGACCATAATCATGTTCGGAGCGATGGCCTTGGTCCTGATCAAGGGGACCCTGGACATCGGAGGACCCGGAGTGGTGTGGCAAAGGGCCCAGGAGACGGCTCGCCTGGAGAGGCCCAACTTCAGTGCGGATCTGACCGAGAGATACACGTTCTATTCCCTGGTTTTGGGCGGTGTAGCCCATTGGCTCAAATCGAATGCGATCAGTCAGAACATGATCCAGAGGTATTTGTCACTGCCAACGTTACGAGATGCGCGAATTGCCATCTGGACCTTTATAGCCGGCGTCTTGGCCTTCTTGATGATTTGTGGCTACACGGGTCTCTTGATTTACGCCACCTATGCGCAGTGTGATCCGCTGGAAACCAAATTGGCCCAGAGAAATGATCAGCTTTTGCCGCTTCTGGTGATGGAGACTTTGGGCTCGTATCCGGGACTACCTGGAGTATTTGTAGCCGGTGTTTTCAGTGCCGCTCTGTCATCGCTATCCACCGGATTGAACTCACTCTCCGCCGTGGTTCTGGAGGATTTCGTGAAGACCTTTCGCAAGAGTCCACTGAGCGAGGCACAAACCGCTTTTGTGATGCGAAGTGTGGTCGTGGTATTTGGCATTATCTTCGTGGCCCTCGTTTTTGCCGTCGAGAAATTGGGGGCAGTCCTGCAGTTGACCATCACACTTTCGTCGGTGGCAAATGGACCGCTTCTGGGCATCTTCACCGCAGGCGTTATGTTGCCATGGGTTAATTCCAAGGGAGCCCTGCTCGGCGGCTTCAGCTCGCTGGTGGTCATGGCCTGGATGTGTGTGAGTGCCCAGCGGGATCTGGTCACCGGGGATCTGGTCTACAAGAGGAAACCCTACTCCACGATGGGCTGCAATTACACGTTCGCCGGAGAACCGCGGGAGTTTGCCAGTCTGGCGCTAGATGGTGACTTCAGGTGAGAAATGGCTTGTATTTACTACATACGCAAAAGATATATCTTTATCGGTAATACTGGCATCGAATTTATACCTTTTTTTCCATTTAATTTGCAAGTAGAGCTGAAGAATTCGAGTAATTTGTTGGGTTTCTTTCTTCTTTCTAACCTCATTATAACTATTTTTGGTACATTTTTGTTTGAGTATATATATATTATATGTAAAAAGCGTGAAAAGCTAAAGAATTCGCGCACTTCTCTTAACTTTCCTCTTCTTAGAACTATTTTTCTTTCATTTTGGTAGGGAATTGGTTGGAACAACATTTGTTTTTGTGTTGTTTATAAATATATAGACAGAAAAGCTTAAAAAATCGCACATTTTTTTAACTTTCCTCTCCATAAACCTATGTTACATTTTAATACGGAATTGGTTCTAGCAACTATATCTTTTATTAAATATATATCTTGGAAAGCTAAAGAATTCGCGCACTTTTTTATACTGGTACGGAATTGGTTCTAAGAACTTCGTGTTTTTTGCAGTTTATTCTTTTTTCGATTTTCTTCTTCTTAAATCTTTTTTTCTTTCATTTTCGTATGGAATTGGTTGTAACAACTATATGTTTTTGTGCAGCTCCAGCCCGAGTGGTCCCTTCCAGCTGTACCGCATCTCGTATCTCTACTTCACGCTCTTCGGAGCCCTGACCACCATCGTCGTGGCCCTGGTCACGAGTCTCCTGCTGAGGGAATCGGATCTGGATGGAGTGGACACCCGTCTGCTCACGCCATTCGTGAGGCGTTGGTTGGAGCGACGTCGCCACCGACGATCGGTGATTCCGGATCCTGGCCAGAAGTCCGGGAACAAACAGGAGACGAGAACGTGATAAGGGGATGATTACCCCTGTCCGGTTGTTTGGGCGGTGGAGAAGGCTGACCGGCATCATCCTGGCAATGTTCCTTTTTGGTAGCTTAGCAAATATTTAAAATAAAACACAATTCATAATTATTTGGGCTATCCTCGTGTGTCCTGTGCGAAATGGGTTCAAAGCAGTTTCCTGCGCTGCTTTCTCTGTAATTAGAAAAATGCCCGCAGTTATGGCCCAGGATTTGAAAAAGGAGTAAGTGGGGTGGAAGGGTGATGGGAACATGACCCGACCCGACAAATCAAAGCGCCGGCTGCCCAAATAGAAGGAAAATCGCAAAAAAAAAAACAGCATCAGGGGCTGATATATGTCCCAAAAAGCCGACGTTTTCTATGCTCTTTTCGATTCAGGGGCAGTGAAATAAACTCAAATATTTAGCTATTAGTAATATTACTAAAATTTTTTAACTAGAATATTTTTTTTAAAACAAGCTTACTAGTATTTTGAACTATTTTTAGGGCATTTTCATTTTCATTTGTTGTGCATTATAGAATTGATTCCAGTTCAGTTGAAATTTACTTAGCTAAATTCTTTAATACAGCCGAAGCTAAAACTAAAATCACATAACAAATCTAGACTTAAAGTACTCAAAGCAGTACAGTATGGATTTTAAATATTTTATAAGATTTTCCCTGTGATTACTATGCCTTCAGAAAAGGTATAAAAATAAGTAGAAACATCACAACTAGAGAAAGCCCTTTTCTGGAGTGCGGGTTCCGCTTTCAAGTGCCAGGCACAAGTGATTGGGCTGTGAACTCTGTCTGGCCAAGGTCAAGTGGGCGGGGGGCGGAGAATCCGGGGGGTGGGGGCGTGGCTGGGACAACCCAAAGGGTTCCGTTTTCACATTAGTTTTACCCTGTGCCGTTAATTGAATATTTACTGCTTTTCATGTGTGGTCAGTCTGCATCCGAGTGCCCAACTATTTTGTTGGGGTCACCAAAACCCCCATTTTATTTGTATGTTTAGGTCGTTTATGCAGCAAATTGAATTGTTAATGAGCTGACAAATGTTTGCGAAATTACTTTTTTGCCTCGGTCTGTGAAACTCCCCTATATATAATTATATATCTAGTTGTTCAGCCAACTTTTATCGATGATGAAGACGCCATATGCTTTGTTATACAGGTAAAAACTTGTTACCCACTCAATTCCCTGGATTTGTGTGAGTCTCTTAATTAGCCGACTGCAAAAATAATTTTGCACAAAAGAGAGACAGCGGCGAAAATGTCATCAGAATGCATAATGACAGTTTCCGGACTGTGTGGGTTTTTAGTTTTTCCGTGTGTGTGTGTGTGTGGTTTTTTTGTTCTATTTTGAAAATCTGTACAAAAGCGGAGATGGAACAGGTGCGCCACCTCGCGGCATATTCAAAAACTATGACTATGCCGTATGCATGGCCAGTGACAGGGGTTAAGGGTCAGGGGTCATGGGTTGGGGGTTAAGCGCCAAGGGTCAGGGGTTAAGGCGGGGGCACAGCGACAGTTGTCATATGGGTGGATTGTTTTTTGGCCACGGCAGGAAACGGAAGCTGGCAGCGCTAACGTGCCAAACTGCCAACTACAAAAGCCAACAACTCCTCGCTCTGTTAACTTGTTTATGTCGCCGTGTTGCTTTTGTGTTACTTTTTATCTTCAAATATAATTTGCTCACCCTCCATCCTTTTCTGCCTCCCATTACCCTTTATTTTAGGTTTGGTCATTCAGGATATATTGAATACTTGGTTAATAATTCAAAAGAAACATAAGAAAGGACTGGTTACATAAGATATTATTGTTAGAAAGCCTAAAGAAAAGTTTTATTTATGAATTATGATTTCGTTGTTAAATTTATTTTTAAATTTTCCTTTCATAATTCTTTGTTGTACTTTACTTTTGTTTAACTCTCATTATTGAGTTTTCATTGCCAAATTCTATTATTTTTTTTATATTGTTAATTTCGAACCCTAGGAAAATCGTTAAAATCTTGTACATCCTTATGATACATCCTGATCTTATTATTTATATTTTTTTTTTGTAAATAAATTTGTATTTTTAAATAAAGTGCTTTTTTTTCTATCAGTTTTGAAAATACTTTATTTGTGAGAGTGTATTTCAACGAGTGTTTTACCTCTAATATTTTCACAAAACAAAGCCTTCGCGTGTGTAGTTCCTTTTCCCCATTTTCCTTAGTTTCAGATGCCTGGCGGCCAAATAAATGCCAGTGACAATTTGCAACGGGCCAAACTCAAGCCCTTAGCCCCCCAACTTACCTACTTTTTGTGGGAGAAGGCAGGCACAAAAGTCATTTTTGATTGTTTTCATGAAAATGAGCATAGAAAAATTATAATTAAAACTCATATGGAAATTGTCGAAAAAAGCAGCCACTACAAAATGGAAGGCGAGAACAATGGCCCACTGATGTTGTTGTTGACCAAAAGATTTCATCTAAAAGAGACCCAAGAAATGCAGTGGTCGAAAAAGGGGGGGACGCTGAGCTGCGGGTTTATTGTTTGCGGGGAACATGTGTTTCACCATGCCCCTATCCCCCATCCCCCATCCCACATCCCACATCCCCTCCCTCGGTTTTCCCTCAATCTTTTTCCTGCCAAAACAATGTCAGCTTACAGAATTAGAAGAGCGCCGAAAGGGGTTAATAGAGGGGGTTACCTGTGCATCACTTAAATATATATAAGTGGGTGCACTGAAAAGAATCATGAGCATATTAAACAATTCATAGTTTTATATCCAAGGGAAATATTAATTATAATTATAGGTCCATACAATTTTGAGGTCTAAAGTTAAAACAAATTCCTTATTTCCAGAATAGTTTTAGAGAGACACAGCGTTTTTTGGCGTTAAATTGGTATACATTAGAAAGAAAACCTTTTTTCTTTGTGTACACAAAGCACAATGGTCAAAAGAGCCAGATGGAAAAACGCATGCCGGCTGCTCATTTTCTTGTTGTCGTTTCATTTTTGGCACTTTTATGCGATAAAATATTTAATTATATTCGGCAGCTTCGTTTGTGCATTGTGCGGTGGCCATACTCTGCCTTTTTAGCCCATTTTCCATCACCTTGGGGAGTGGGCGTGGCTGAAATTGCATTTCGAGTGTCTGCCTCAAAGTATGCAATGATTTCGTCTTTTGGAAAATGTGGGAAAATGGTTTACAGTGATAACAATGGGTTAAGAGAGGACAACTTACTCTCGCAAAACAAACTGCCATCTTTTTAAAGTACTTGCATTTTTGGGTAAAAGGAGGAAAAAAAAAAAATTAAAAACCCAAAAAACTAAAAAAAAAAAAAAAAAAAAAAGAAGGAAAAAAAAAAAAAAAAAAAATTTATAAAAAAAAACAGCAATCGGTAATTGCACATTTCCTGTTTAACCAGAGATTAAGTATTTTCAAGTATTTTGAATTTGAATTTTATTTGAATAAAATGAATGAACTCTACTAAACATGTGTTATTTTGCTTGGTAAATATAGAAGAATTTAGGCAGTTAACTTGAGAATTTCCATTGATAACCAGTGGTCTAATATTTAATCAAAGGTTATTTTAAATTCCATGTAATTACGGGTTGCAATATCATAGCTAGAATTCAAATATGAGAAATTTGTAACAGGTCATAAAGGAATTTCCCTTATTAACCGGTGGCCCCTGTAGTTAACCACAGGTTAAGTATGTTTTTATCTTGAAAGAAATGAATTGCTTTGTCAATTTTTCCCCTTAGCCAGTGGCCACTGTTGTGGCTCTGGTTGTTGTCGTCGTAGTGGTTGTGGTTGTCGTTGTTGTAGTGGTGGTCAAAGGTCGCTTGATGATCGTTATCCGTATGCAACCGGCATGATCCGGATGCTCGCCGATGGGCGCCGTGCCGCCAAGGGTTAAGCCCTCCAGGGCAATCAGCAGTAGGAATATGTACGCTATGGACTGGCTCATGGTGGTCATCGGCTTCAGAACTCCCCGAACAACTGATCGAGTTCCATGGGGGTGCCAATCGTTTTTATAGTTCACTCTTCTTGCAGCTCCATTCAATTGACAACAATCACAATGGACAATTGGAGAGGTTGTATCAACAAATGCGATCACAAATTGCAGTCTCACCTCTGTGTTTATGATTACACAGTCTATTCTATGTATTCCCCAGCATCAGATAGCCCTAATTCCATTTATTTTTACTGAACATTTGTCGATTCAATGCCGATTTACATCGCACCGGGAAGTCCGGTTAAATCGGCTTAAAAGTCGTAGTTTCATTCACATAAAGGAATAATGAATCATTTAAATAGTGAAAAATTTAATATTACAATATTTTAATTAATCTATTTTCAGTGTATTAAAGGTAATTTTTCACCTGTCTATAAGAAATAATCATTGCTTATCTGAAAATTCCATTATTTTTTAAAAAACCACAAGCCATCAAGAGCCCGACAGTGCTATTACTTTCAAACAAAATTTGGAAATTGAGACCAACAAGGGGCGATTTGAAATGAGATTCCAAGGGTTTTGATTAACAACCCGAAAAAAGGATCTGATTTTTTCCGGATTTTGGACAAAATATTTTTCATACGGTCATGCTTTCTTTCGAAAAATAAAATTTTTTAGCTATGAATGCAACTTTATTGGGAATTTTATAACGAATTCAACAAGGTGTGACATTCCAACATTCGGCCACTATTTCCCAGGGTTTTGATTAAAAAACGAAAAAATAGAGCTGATTTTTTCCGGATTTTGGTCAAAATATTTTTTCGAAGGGTTTTAATCGTGGTTTTTTTGAAAAATTTAAATTTTGTATTTGTGAGTGCCACTTTATTGGAAATCTTATAACGGAATCAACAAGGTATGACATTCCAACATTCGACCACTATAGCCCAGGGTTTTGATTAAAAAACCGAAATATGGGTCTGCTTTTTTCCAGATTTTGGCCAACATATTTTTTTATAGGTGGTAAAAAATATCATTATGATTTTTTTGAGAAAAAACAATTTTTAGCTGTGCATGCCACTCTCACGCTAGTAAGTTACACCGCAAATAATTTATTTTTCATATTTAACCAAATTTGTGCAATCATTTTTAGAACTTTTTTTACTTTTGCATATTGAAACAATTTTGCATTGCTGGAATCGTTTTCCTTTATTTTCAAGCTGAAGGACTACATAGGGATAAGGTTCACATTAGGGTTCGGTTAGAAGGTTCGTCAAGGGGAGTAAGCCTGGATTTGGGTGTGGCTTCAGATTCATTTATCCCGAAGAGCTGGCGGCGGTGGTTCGAGGTGGTGGAGGAGCACCACGCGGAGGTGGTGACCCCGTGGAGTTGCGATGGTGACCCACAGCCTCGAGTCCACGCACCAAGTTCACTCCAGCCGCGGAGAATTTCTTCAAAAAAAAGGGTTTAAAAATGATTAAAAAATTGTAAAAATATATTCAATTAATTGAAAGTATCCGGCCTTTTACTCACCAGCAGACAGCAGCTCAGGGCCAAAAAGAACAGCAGATAGAAGCGCATCTTGATGTTGAATGATTGACATTGGCCCCGAAAACCTTGCTTTTATGGCCCTCGCTTGTTTACCCGATTCTAAACAAATTTATTGTGGGTGTAGCTCTGTAATTGCTCGCGCAATTGGAGTGCCACATTAAATATCTAATTGAGGTGTTGATTTAGTAATAATATTATTTCAACTCGTCCGCAATTATCATGTGCACTGGAGCTCTCTCCTCTCCGATTATAGAATTGTGTTTTGGTTGCAGTTTGTTTGTTTATCTTTGGGTCTAGGTGGAGGTTATACCCTAATACTCAAAAAAGAGATTTTTTAGTTGTATCATCGATAAAATATTGTTATTAAATATACACCACCTCATGTTAAATACAGAATATACCCAATCCATATTTGATTTAATTTTTGGTGTAAGCCACTCAACCACGCACTAAACACGTCCCAATAAATACAGCCTGTGATGTTCGACTAATGAAATGTATCTCAAGGCATTGATGTCCCTTCAAGAGCAGATATCAGATGTACCAGCCACCCTCGACCAATAACTAATGCCATAAGCCACTCCAGATTGCAGCACTCGTGACTTGTCGCCAGGCATTTGATGAACTGCCACAGGATGTGGATATGTCTTTGGATTGCCATTGGCATTGGCATTGAGAATCCAGATTCCACAACCCAGATAGGCATAAACGTGTCGGGAAAGTTTTATGACCAGTTCCTTTTACCTTACGCAAAATCCCCCATTGAATCGTGTGACTGAACTTTGACATATTTGCCACACAGAGAAAAATATTTTATTAAATGATAAGTTTAAGAACATCACAAAAATATGTACTGTGACTTCTGAAGGCACTTCCTTGTACATAAACAACATATTAATTTGCGTATGTAATAAACTTAACTTCCCATTAATAATTTAAAGAAATTTGTTTCATAGTAGGTACTTACTATGCCATGAATTAGATCTTACATTTTCCTTTAATTGTTTGATTGCCTTTGTAACAATTTTGTTATAATTTGGTTACTATATATTCAAACGGTAAAGGTATTTTGCCCAGTGCCAGTACCAAAGCCAAACCCAGTCATAAACCACCTAATGCCGACAAAAACAGGGGAAAATCATAAAAGTCCCCAAACCGAATTCTGTGGCCCACTTTTATTGGATTTTTACGATAAGCCTCGCTGCGTGTATTTTTTTGAGGATTCCTATTTTTGCCAATGATGATTCGAAAAGCACTTTCGGCGCAAATTGCAGCTGTTATCGCTGATCAAATGGCATAAAGGAATCCCCAAACATATATATACATCTAATATACCTATAAGGACATACAGCACAAATCTGGGGAGTGTCTCCGGTCAGAATGCAAATCAAACAAACAATAAATTGAATCAGGACATTGTTGAATGTAACAGATAGCCCCCAAAACAATGGGCAAGGCAATCCGAACTGAACGCATGCATATCCTGGAGACATTAAGGATATCCTTGAGTAGATGCAATTTTCTAACCAATATAATTCATAAATTTATTTTCAATCCTTTCCGCACATAAATTTTCATATTATGCACACTCACTCACAGACAGTCGTCCACCTCGACCCTATTTTTCTCCCAGGCCTATTGTCCTGCGGCATGTCCTGTGTGCGTTTGGTTATTATTTGTCGTCGTGCTTGTCATTATTTATATGGGCAGGCGAGAGATAAGTTGCTGCAATTGTGGCACCCCGGTAAAACAGCCCCAAAGTCCCCCCGAAAGCCCCCCTCGAAAACAGGATGCAGTCGAGGTCCTGGCAATTACACAAGCACAGATACAAAGATACTCGGATGCAAAATGTCCTTCGGTGCGCGTGTGTGTGTGTGTCTGTGTGTGTGTGCGAGTGTGTTTGCAGGTTGTTGGCCCAAAATTTTGATTTATAAACGCCAACACCGAGCAGGTTATACCACCTCCCCGAAACCAGCAAAACCTCCTCGAAATTTCCCCCAGGAAGCTGCAGTTACTTTTGGCTGACAAACGTCCCCAGGATCTGAGGAGGTCCTGCCGTCGAGCCGAGTGCAACTCAAGTGGCCATTAATATATCAGTTCAATTCATATTTGAAATTTTGCATTTCCTAACAGGACGAGAAACGAGGACGAGCCACAGATCCAGATCCCTGCCCAGCTGGCACCTAGATATAGCCACTCCTTCGCATCCTTCACATCCTTCGCATCCTTCGAATCCTTCGCCTCCTTCGTCCGAAATTCCCCCGCTCCCACCACGCATACGATTATGATTTGTGTCTTACTTAATGCACAGAGTCCTACAACTTTCATACACTCCCCGAAATAATTCGACAACAAATTCTAATTTTTTGTAATATATTATAATAAATTATAATATTCATTTAATAACAAGACTTGATAACAAGAGCAGTAAAATAATAATTTTCCAAGTTTAATTTAATTTATAGTCAATTACGATGAAACTAGTTTAGTTAATTTTTACGATGCTTAGGCAATTTTCTTTTGTTTATATATATTTTAAAGTCTACCTTATTTATTCTTTTAAGGGTTATACTTAAGATTTATTTGTAATGCTGAACATTTGTTTTTACTTTTTTATCTAACAAACCTTTTTGTACCTCACCAAGATTAAGTTTATATAACATTTATTTATTTAAGATTTATAGGGTTTTATTGATTGGTTTGATTGTTTATATTTGAACAATATTATTATTATAATCGCGTTGGATTGCCATTAAAGTTTGATTGCAATTGCTTCAAGTTTCGGAATCTCTTGTGCCATCCAGTTTCTCGCAGTGCATAAATGGTGCCCAACGGCACAGAACTGAACTGGTTAGCTGTTAGCTGAGTGGAGCCGGCGTCGTCTCAATCTGATTGATTTAGAATTCCAATTGAGACTGCATGAAATATGTTTGCTTCGTGTCTGGCTTCTGGCTGCTGTCGTTGTTTTTGGGGGTCCTGCGAGTCCTTCCTTGGCCCCTTAACCCCTTGGCCCCCTTCGGCCCCTTAACCCCCCGGCGGCAGAGCATTTATGCATGGGCATATCCTTTTGCGAAATTTGCATTTTCGAACAATTGCAAACGGCAGCAGCAGAAGGAGCAGAAGGAGGTGCAGCAGTAGGAGCAAACAGCAGGAAGAGCAGCAGGACAACGACAACGACGACGACTTATTGGTATTTCATTGATTTATGACACTTGTGAAACAATTTGGAAAATCACAGATTAGCAGCCGAGCACTAATTACACCCTACGGCTCATTGGGAAGGCACCTGCGACTCTCTCCCTGAAAATTGCCCCCGAAATTGCCGAAATTCTTTGCACTTTGTCATGTAAATCGGTACTAATTGAAGGCAAGGGACTAACTAGAGGGCTCTGGTATTTTTTAGTTGTGTAAAAATTTAACTAAATAAATTCCAGTTGTCACATTTCGTTTTATTTTATTTCCATTGCTGGTAGAGTGAGCAAAAGAGTTTCTCTTCAGTTGACTTCTAAAATGTAAATTTGCTTGCTCACTCCCTAAACATTCAGCTATTTGAATTGGTCTTAAAATGTATATAAAATAACTTAAAATTGGTATCACATTAATATTTAAGATTCAAAATATATATATTTTATTCCTAAAGGGTATAGAAACATAGGACGTATGTCAATCTGAGTAAATTGCTATGAATACTTATTTGTACAGTAAAAATAATGTAAAAAGTAGTTTACTTTCTAATAGGAAAGAATTAAACTACATTTGTTTTCTTCTGGCAATTATTTCTATTGCATACAAATATGATGTGTTTTTTACTACATTTTAATCTTTTAATCTTATATAATTTGGATAGTCCTTTCTATGAGGTGTAGGGTATCCTTGGGATTCCAGCTAACCGAATCGAATGAAACCAAGCGAAGCTCCTTCATCATCATCGCATCGTCTCCATCTTCCTGGGCGCAAAGCTCGAGGCCCCGAAGTTTCCTATCAGCAGAAGACCTGCAGACTCGAACAATTGAACTTTGGCCTCCGGCTGCCCCCTTGACCCCCCGGTGCCCCCTGTGTGGCCCCACCCCCTGGTCCCCCTCCGCCTTAACCCACCAGTGCCACATGTCCTTCCGCACTTTCTCTGCCATTTCTGGCCATCGTCTTTGCCAACTGCGACTCCAACTGAGATTTATATGTCAGCCGAAGGGTGTGAGTGGGCCTTAACCCCTTGTTGCCCCCCCAAAATGAACGTGCAGTGATTAGGCTACCAGGCTACAAACGATTTGTTGCATGTTGTTGCAATTGATTGTTGCAATTTCAATTTTGAATTATGAGGCCTGCCTTGCCGTTTGGATCCTGGCATCCGTTTCCGTTTCTGCCCCTTCATGTTGCTGCTGTGCATTTGGTGTTGCTGCTGTTGTTGCTGTTGCTGCTGCTGTTGTTGCTGTTGCTGCTGCTGCCTGTGTGCAATGTGTTGCAAGTTGCATTGGCAGCGTCATTCAAGTGTTTAGTGATTTATTGAATGCCGTTAGAGTTGTCGTTGTTTCTCGTCTGCTGCAATTGCAATTGCAATGGCAATCGCATCGTTGCAATTGCAATTGCCTTTGCCCATATCCTCGCTCTGTCTGCCCCAAAACCCAAAACTCTGAGATTAGCACAATGGCTTTGAGCACTTTTGACAGCTAAGATTTGTTTATGCCCAAACCTCCCACACTTTTCGCACTCTTAACCCATTAGCCTTCGTCTGAGAGATGTGTCCTTATCTTGCCGGAAGTCTGGGGCAGTCGTGATTCATGTCTTTGCATATTGGTAACAAATTTGTGGTAATTGATTTGAAATTGATTAATTAAGTCTCCCTCCCTTGGCTGCAATTTAAACGATGTGGATTGGGGAAGTACCCTCTTTGGGCTGCTCAATTTTAAGGGGTTCTTGATGTTTTGTAAAGACCCAAATATGTCGAAATTGTTTTTAAATGCAAAATAATGGGATGTCTTTTCCTAAAAGCGAAAGTACAAAAAATAAATAATTACAAAACTTATGTTGCATACAACTGCATAAATAAACCATAATTAAATGTTGCCCATAAATATAAAACCTATCCTAATAATAGGT